CTGTTCATGTCAGCCCACTCCTGTAACCTATCCAGGTCTTCTTGTAGTCTTTCCCTCCCTACTAGTGTGCTCACCTCACCCCAAATTTTGGTATCATCAGCCAATTTAAACAGGTCTTTTCCACGCATCAACTACGGAGAGCTAATCTTCTTTATGGGCAATGAGCCTGCATAGTTATAGAAAGCTCCCTGAATCTGAATGACTCCCAGTATAAAACTGGGCAAATTAAAGAATTTATCCTCTCATTCAAAAAAAGAGGTCATTCTTCCCAGAATGTTTAGGAGAAAAATCCCAGAAGAGTCATCTATTCTGACTACTTCACAAAGAGCCTTCTTCTAGTTTAAACAAGAACATTTCTTTACTCATGTCTCCAATCAATTATTTACATGTTATTTGGGATATGTGTGCCCTTTCCCCAAAATTTCTTCCCCTGACAAGTGTCTGTGCTCCAAGCAATCAATGCTCTTGTGTAATATTTTTTCTTCCCTGCCCCCCAAAATTTACCAGAATGAGTCAGTAAGAAATTGTCAAATACTGGCATTTTAAGCATATTAATAACCCCAAAACAATGGAAAATGCCAAACTGTCGATAGCCATTGTATTACTTTTGAAAATGTATAAGTCTCCCATCTGTCACGGGCAAAAGGGGAACTTTGACTTTAAAGTAATGAAAAGGATCAAGAGATCTGTTGCATTCCCCTAATACTTTCAACTTCAAAGATCTGTTCTCATACTGTGATGCAACAGATTATTTGTTAGGGAAGTATGAATAGAAAGCAGTAGCATATTCAGGTTTACAGACATTTACCACCTTCCTTAAAACAGTTTAAAGCCTTTCATAGGAAATTCCTGCAGTGTCAGTCTTCTGGAAAGACAACAATGACAGGTGTTTTACTGACATCACCTAAGCAACTGCTAAGCCCTGAAATCCTTCTGGCAATTGTTAGTAAGTCAACATTTTTGACAGCTTCAGCAAACAGTGTACACTAAACCTCATAAAGTAGCTACCAGTATTCTTGCATTAAGTAGTACCATAGACGGAATTCTTCTAAGCCTTTCCTGTGGCTTGCCTCCATTTATTTATTGTAATAGGAATATAAAAAATACATAAATATACACATTGGTAAAGAAAGCTTTGCAGTAGATGTTAAAGAATAATGAAGAGATCCAACTTCAACAGAAGCAGCTACTTCTTGCTTTCCTTGTAGCACAGAAATATCAAGGGCCCAATAGTTACAGAAAATAAACTACCCATGAAGGTAAAATAATGCAATGAGAAACAAGTAACATCTTAAGATGTTACTAGGGAAAATAAAGGGACCTAGATACCTTTGATCATTTTAGTGGATATTATTCTTTTTTTGAAAAACAACGCACATACAAAAAGTCTGGGGAAAGAACAAGACCAGTAGACTTCCAATAGAAAGGGCTAGAGACTTACTCCTATTGATTGATGTACTGGGTCCAGATTCTAGTTTGCCAAAGAAAGGAAACTATTAGGAATAAATTAATGTGGTCTTAAACTTTTGTGTGTAAAATTCATGTTGTCAGGCACAATACCTAACACTTAAAACTGTAAAGAGATTACTAGCTACAACTTAGGCCCCCTCTACATGTTACATGTGTTATGCAGTTGCCCAGTTAATTGCACAATTAATATAGACTGGCTACATATGCAAATTAACTATTATGCCTTAAAAAGGTCCAATCTGCTATAAAATTAGAGCTGGAAAATGTTTAATAACTTTATAGTCAAATTCTATCCTGCTTTAATTTGAATGTGTATTATAGCTATGCTATACATGTGATTGTGTTTATTGTGCGTCAGATCCTATTATACCTTTACCTTGCATT